TGAATGGCTGGAAGTTCCCTGTTAATTTCAAATGCAAAGCGCTTCAAATTTCACCAAATTATGTTGCGAAATCTCGAAGTTATCTTAAGAAAAAAAGCATTTTTTTTCTTTCTCCTTCGATATCTCACGAACAAATGAACCGATATTTATTTTCTAACCGACATTTGACGTCATTTTTTGAGGTTAAGAGCTGACTAGAAATATATAACTATGTTGAAATGGATCGGTAAAACCGTTTGAAAGTTATTCCAAGAAAAACAGTTTTTCAAAATTTTTATTTTTGAGATTTCTCAAAATCTACTCGTCCAAATCAGTTCATATTAGCACTAAATCTTTACAGTCTGGCCGCGTACGTTGCCGCGATAATACGTGTTTAACGTGAAAGAGTTGTGTGGCGTTCTATACAATGTCTGTGAATCTAGTAAAATGTAATAGCTGTAACATTGTCATTAGTGAAGTTTTGACATTTATTCAGAATCAAGTAGATATGATGAATGAAGAAAGCATAGTTCGCTTTTTGTGCAGCTGCGTTCTCTCTTGAAGAGATTGCGGCTGCAAAAGACTTACTCTATCAATCTGTGCAAACTTCAGGTAAAAGGATAAAGACTAAGGGCAACGCAGATGGAAAAAATACAGCGATCTCGAGGACATTATATCCCTTATCAAGTGTACATTAGCGGAACTAATCCCCATATTCGTAGCCCGAGAGATACGAAAACTACCACCGGTTACATTTGACTATGTCGATGTCACGAGATTACTGAAAGACATAATTATCCTAAAAGATCAAGTTCAAGTTATAACAGCAGTACGCTACGGTCGAGCAAATTAACAAATTCAAAATGGAGATCGATAATATGAAGCAAGGGTCACTGTTAAATAATTACCAAGTTAAAGATTCCTTAAATAAGAAAAGAGGCACGAGTAATTTAGTACAACACGATAACCTTGAATCGGATAGCGGGCCATTTGGTTTTATAAACTTGGAGGTAGAAAAAACGGCTACTTCAAATCAGGGATGAAGAATGGATTATGGTGCAGAGGAATAGACTTAGGAATAGATTTATTAGGTTACAGGGGCAGTCGAAGGATCCTACGGGTAAATTTAAGGCAGCAAATGTAAGAATACTGTTGTTTGTGAAGAATGTTGATAAAGAGACTCAACCCAGGACATTGCCGATTATATTTTATGCGAAACGAATGCTGCTGTACAACTGGTGGAAATTAAAATGAAACGTCAAAAAGATTATAAGTCTTATAAAGTGTTTGTTCCCAGGCATATGACGGAAATGTTCCTGGACAAGAATCTTTGGCCTTTTCGGCGATTTATTAATTTTAATGACAGGGAAATTACCTTCTACGGGCTTGAGTGAGGCTGGTGGTAAAAGTTAATAAAAAGTATAGTCATATAGGGAATTATGCAAGACGGCACACGTAATTGCTCTTCAGGAGACATGGTTATTATTACCGCATGACATCGCATATGTAGGAATATTGACAGTGACGATGAATTCACGAGCAAGTCAGCGGTGGACACATCAACCAGCATACTCCGTGGGCGATCCTATGGAGGGGTGGCGATAATGTGGAAGAAAAGTGTATTTTCGTCTGTTGCAATCGTTCCGTGTGAGTGTTAGACTGACAGCTATTAAAATATGTGCGAATAACCCCCCTCATCAGATTAATCTATATAGTAAAATATGTCATAATAATTTAAGAAATGTTGATTTTCCGGTAGAATTTAGATTTTGTGCGTGTAGTGGGTGCAAAATTTGTTGTTATGTATAGTAACGGGCATATAGATAAATAATGTTCAACACTTATTACACTAACACAACAGAGGATGATTGTAAGTCCTCTTTGAATGAACTGCGTATCCCTAACAATACATATGGCAGTGACTCGGTCCACTTTTCTCGTGTATGACACATTATGGACGACTTGAGCTGCCTATGGAATCGTTCCACCAGTCCATTACTTGCCGGATGGTAAGCCGTCGTGCGTTTGTGCTGGAATCCGGCTATTTTGGCGAGTTGTTGGAAAAGGGTTGATTCGAATTGCTTACCACGGTCAGTTATAATGTCTGTGGGGTAGTTAAATCGAGCTATTGTTGGATAGCATATAGCAGATAACAAAGCCTTCGCAACCGTTTCTGCTGTTATATCAGCGATCGTAATAGCTTCGGGCCACCTTGTGAAGCGGTCAACACACGTCAGACAATAACGGTAGCCATCGATGTGAATTTGTTGAAACCTTGCACGCGGTATTTTAAACGTGCCTATAGGTGAGCTAACATGCCGATATATTTTCGAACGTTGGCGTGGTAAACACGTTTTCGACCATTCCCGACAGTCTTTTCTAACTTTCGGCCACACGAAACGTTCTGCCACTAACTTGGCGGTTGCGTTAACGTCTGGATGACTGAGCGAATGTAAAGTATTAAAAACTTGTTTTCGGAAAAACTTGGTTACAAATGGCCGGGAAGTCGGTGTACTAACGTCGCAGTACAATGGGGTTCGACTCCCGGGTATAGTAAGTTTTTCTAGGCGTAATGAAGAGCCTTCTTTTATGAGCTTTTCAAGCTCAGGGTCAGAAGCTTGGCTTTTAGCTAATGCTTCTAAGTCAATAGGCGCGCTACTCGCGAAAGTGTATCGGAAACAACGTTGTCCTTACTGGAAATATGCCTGATATCAGTAGTAAACTGGGCTATATAATCTAAGGGCCTATGCTGCCTAGGCGAACAGTTGGATTTTCTTGCATGAAATGCGAAACTGATTGGCGTGTGGTCACTATATACTGTGAAATGTCTTGCTTTAACATATAGCGAAAATATTTAATAGCCTCATAAATTGCTAGGAGCTCCCTGTCGTAAAAGGAATATTTTGTCTGAGAAGTGTTCAGCTTTCGGGGTAAAGATGCTAGCGGCTGCCATACATCTTCTTTTAACTGCTGTAGGACAGCTCCAATTGCTTTATTCGAAGCATCAGTGACTAAAGCCAATTTTGCTTGGCAATCTGTATTTGCTAATAACGCTGCCTCAAAAAGGCTTTCTTTGCATGTTTTAAGTGCATTTAAAGACTCGCCATATAATGTAATAGGCTGGTTATTCTTTACTACGCCTGTCAACAAGGCGTTAAGCGGTGCTTGTATTTCTGCAGCACGTGGTAAAAAATCGCCTATAAAAATTGACCATGCCCAGAAATAGTCGAAGTCTAACATTGGTGGGCAATGGGAAGTTTTTTATGGCTTCAACTTTAGTGTCTAGTGGTTTGGTGCCTGATGCCGAGATGTGATATCCCAAAAAGGATACTTCTCGAGCACCAAAAACCCACTTGGACGTATTAATTAGCATACCATATTCTTTTAGTTTTTGAAAAATTGCACGCAAATGCTGTTCATGTTGTGCCTCGTCCTTTGAAAAAATTAAAAAATCATCCAAATAAAAATAGCAGAAGTCGAGTCCCCTAGTCATTTCAACCACAAACCTCTGGAACGTTTGTGCAGCATTCTGTAAACCGTAACCCATGAATGGGATTTCAAAGAGTCCAAAAGGCGTTTTTATTGCAGTTTTTGGTACATCTTCAGGACTAACTGGTATTTGGTTGTAAGCCTTGACTAAGTCTAATGTACTAAAAATTTTGCAACCAGATATTGCACTTGGCACTGTTCGAGCGTTAAGCATTCTGTAGTCCCCACAAGGACGCCAACCATTATCTTTTTTGGAACTAAATGGAGTGGCGAAGACCAAGAACTTTCAGAAGGCCCAGCTATCCCATTATCTAGCATGGATTGGAACTCTTGTTGGGCTATTTTCAGTTTATCTGGAGCAAAGCGACGAGGTGAACAAGAAACTGAAGGTCCTGGTGTCGTACGTATATCGTGAACTGTGTTATGCTGTATAGTGCGGTGTATGCCGGTCTTCGGACGAGGAAGGCCTGCCAGCCCCCAAGTTGGCGACTTCGAGGAGGGGTCGGCAGGCATCGAGAGGGGTGAGTGCTTCGCAGCCGCGAAGAGATAAGCAAGGACGATTCGTGTGCTCCAATACCTCGGCGGCTAGTGAAGCAGAGAGTGACATGGGGGTCACTACGGAGGACCCTGGCGATGGCGGTGAAAGCTGTGCCTCGCTGGGGAGTTCAAAGGCGGAGCTCAACGCCGCCAAGAGGGAACAGCGCAAAGCCGTCGCAGCAGACGAAGTGTCTGAAATGGCCCGACGCGCTCGCGAACGACGAGCTGCTCTGGCGGCGGAAAAAGGAGAGCCATCTGGCTCTGGATAGGGTGGACTTAGTCCTGAAAGTTGCCACCAAGTCCGGCAGCCTGAAGGGCACGTTCACCCGTGGCTTAAAGGAGGCTGCCGCGGACATCAGGGAGGCGGTTGGCATTTTCCTCAACAGGACGGCCTCTGACGAGGTCGCAAAGCTACAGGAGGAAAATAGCCGCCTCAGAAATGATCTAGAGGACTTCCGGCAGCAAGTCGCAGCACTGAGCGAGCAGCAGCAGAGATGCACATCCACCGATGCCGCATCTGTAGTGGCCCCGACTCCTGCACCGCGACCGACAAGCCCTCGTACCGACGAAGAGGTCGAGCGCATTGTCCGGCTCTGCATGCTTCAGTGCGGGAGCATGGTTAACGCTCGGCTGGAGGCGATTTCTCGGCGTCTCCCGGCGGAAACCCTACGTCCGCCTTTGGCGGCTGACACGCGGAGAACTGAGGAGCCACCGAGACTTGCGCCTCAAAAGGGGAAGCCCATGGAGGGTAAAAAAAGCCCGCGGAGGAAGCTCCTCCGAGCGACCAGCCCACGACAGCCGGGTCTAAGGGTGAGACATGGGCGAAAGTCGTGGGCCGCAAGAAGGCCCGCAAAGCCGCCAAGAAGGCCGCAGCAGCTGCACATGCTCCAGGTGGAACCGCAAAGACGGCTCCTCAACCTGAGCGGCGGACTGCCAAAGGCGGTCGCAAGAAATCGGCTGTACGTGTTCCGCGGTCCAATGCGGTGACAATAACATTGCAGCCCGGAGCTGTGGAGCGTGGCGTGACGTACCAGTCGGTCATCGCTGAGGCCAAGGCCAAGATTAAATTATCAGATCTTGGCCTTCAGTCCGTCACCCTCAGGCAGGCTGCCACGGGTGCGCGGCTGTTCGAGGTGGCTGGCACTGTGAGCGACAGTGCCAAAAAGGCGGACGCATTGGCCGCCAAGATGAGAGAGGTCTTCAACCCTGAGGACGTCCGGGTCTCCAGACCAATGAAAACCGCAGAATTGCGGATTGCTGGCCTGGACGACTCCGTGACATCTGAGGAGGTGGTGGCGGCCGTTGCCAGAAGCGGAGAGTGTCCGCCGGACAAAGTGCGGGCCGGCGATATACGCACCGATGCCACCGGACACTGCGCGGTCTGGGTTCGGTGCCCTGTAGCGGCGGCAAAGAAGATCGCCGATAGCGGCAGATTGCTGGTAGGCTGGGTGGCGGCAAGGACGAAGCTGCTACAGCCCCGGGCTTTGCAGTGCTTCCGGTGCCTTGAAAAAGGGCACGTCTGGGCGAAGTGCACCGAGGTTTTGGTTGTAGTGACCTTTGTTACCGCTGCGGCCAGCCTGGCCACAAGGCGGCCCTGTGCATCGCGGCGTTCAACTGCAGCCTTTGCTCTGCTGCGGGAAGGCCAGCGGAGCACAGAGTAGGCGGAGGGGCCTGTGGGTCGCCTACCAGCAAGTCCAAGGCCAAAAAAGAAAAGAAGAGGAGCACCAAGCCTGCCGAGTTAACCTCGCTGCCCACACAGGCCAGTAGCTCCGCGGCCGACTCCCGGCCCAGGACCGTTGCCGAGGGAATGGAATGCCAATAATGGCAAAGTTCCATTTTCTCCAGGGCAACATCAACCACTGTGCCAGAGCTCAGGATCTCCTACTCCAGAGCATGGCAGAGTGGTCGATTCACGTGGCTGTGGTCGCCGAACCGTACTTCATTCCCGCCCGTGACAACTGGCTGGGATGCGCTGACGGTTTGGTGGCCATTATTGGCGAGACTCTGATCGAACCGTCTCAGGGCCGTGGCTGGGTTGCTGCGGTCTCGGGTGGTATCGTTATTGTGGGGGCGTATTTCTCCCCCAACAAGAGTCTCGCCGACTTTGAGGGTTTCCTTGTCGAGTTGGGCGCCGTCGTAGGCCGCTATCACCCTCGTCCGTTCTGGTGCTCGGGTATCTCAACGCAAAGTCATCAGCGTGGGGATCTCCGGTCACTGATCCTCGGGGCGAGGTGCTAGAAGAGTGGACAGTGACAACTGGTCTGGTCGTCCTGAATCGGGGTTCGGAATACACGTGCGTGCGGCAGCGAGGCGGGTCGATAGTGGACGTCTCGTTTGCCAGCCCCCTCTGTCGCCAGCCGAGTCCGCGACTGGCGTGTCGCCGTAGGGGTGGAGACGCTGTCGGACCATCGGTATATCCGGTTCGACGTCTCTGCCCAGACTGCGAGAGGCCGCCATCCAACTACCCCGATTAACGACGGCCCGCGTTGGGCGCTTAAGCGCATCGAAGGGAACTACTCGAGGAAGCTGCCTTAGTCCAGTCCTGGATCTGGGAGTCGGAAACGGACGGTACCATCGACATCGAAGCAGTGGAACAGATCTGCGTCATCGCCCCGCGAATGGTTTCGCGGGGGCGATGACCTGATCCGTGACGCGTCCATGCCCCGTATCCGCCAACGGTCTGCAAGGCACCAGGTGTACTGGTGGACCGCCGAGATCGCGCAATTGCGCATAGCGTGCGTTGCGGCCCGACGCCGGTACACACGATACCGGAGACGGCGTCGACGGGATTCCGCCGAGGAGGACGCGCTGTATGAGGTGTACCGCGCGTCTAAGGAGACTCTGTGGCTGGCCATCGGCGACTCGAAGTCGCGTGCCAGGGGAGGAGCTGCTGGGGTCCCTAGATCGGGATCCGTGAGGGCGCCCCTACCGTTGGGTACGGGGCAAGTTGCGTTCCTGGGCGCCTCCACTAACGAAAACAATGCAACCCCAGTTGCTAGAGACGGTGGTATCAGTTCTCTTCCCTGAACAAGTGGGACACGTTCCCCCGGCGATGGCTTCACCCTCAGCCACAGACTTTCCAGAGGAGGAGAGCACCGATGTCCCCAAGGTGACGCAAGCAGAGATGAGAGCGGCCATGGCGCGACTTCGGGCCAAGAACACAGCGCCCGGACCCGACGGAGTTCCTGGTCGAGCTCTCGTCCAGCTCTGAAGGAGCTGGAGGCCCAACTGAGAGGGCTCTTCACGGCATGTCTCGAGCAGGGTCAGCTTCCCAGTGTGTGGAAGGAGGGAAGGCTGGTCCTACTCAGGAAGGAGGGGCGCCCCGCGGACTCACCGTCCGCGTACCGGCCCATAGTGCTGCTCGACGAGGCGGGCAAACTTCTTGAGCGTATCATCGCAGATCGCCTCGTCAGCCACTTGTGCAGAGTGGGGCCAGACCTGGACGAGAACCAGTTTGGTTTTCGTCGCGGGCGCTCCACCATAGACGCTATTACGCGCGTGAGGGCCCTGGCGGAGGAGACGTATCCCGGGGTGGGGTGGTGCTGGCGGTGTCATTAGACATCTCCAACGCCTTCAACACCCTACGCTGGAGTTGTATTCGGGAGGCGCTTAATTACCATCGCGTGCCTCCCTACCTCCGCCGCACAATAGGGGGCCTACCTTGAGGAGAGATGCGTCACGTATTGGGGACGTGACAGCGCTGGTCGACGCGTCATGTCATGCGGTGTTCCGCAGGAATGGGTCTTGGGACCGCTCCTGTGGAACATCGGCTACGACTGAACTCCCGTCGGGCGCCGACTTGACCTGTTATGCGGACGACACGCTCGTCACTGCCCGGGGGAGCTCGCACAGGGAAGCAGCGTTGGTTGCCACGGCTGCGGTTTCACAAGTGGTGAACCGCATCCGGTGCCTGGGCCTGGAGGTGGCCCTTAACAAGTCGGAGGCCATGGTGTTTCATGGCCTTCGACGCGCGCCGCCACCGGGATCGCACATCGTGGTCGGCGGGGCCCGGATAGCTGTCGAGTCCACCATGAAGTACCTGGGATTGGTGCTCGACAGCCGATGGGAATTTGGGCCCCACTTCCGGCGGCTGGCGCCCAAGCTGATGCGTGCAGCTGGCGCACTTTCAACGCTGCTTCCCAACTTGGGGGCCCGAGCGCTGCCTGTAGGCGGTTGTACATGGGAATCGTGCGGTTCATGGCCCTGTATGGGGCCCCTGTATGGGCGATGGACATGACGGCCAGCACTTTCGCCATTCTGCGCAAACCGCAGAGGGTGATGGCCGTCAGAGTCATCTGCGGGTATCGCACGATTTCCTACGAGGCGGCTTGCGTCCTGGCCGGATCCCCGCCCTTGGACCTAGAGGCGAAAGTACTCGCGTCACTATATCGATGGCGCGAGGAAGAGCGGGGCGGGGCTCGAGGCCGGTGCAGCGACAGATCGCGCTGCGCCGAGAGGAGCTCCGTCAGGTCTTGGTGGCGGAATGGCGGCAAAGGTTTCTGCGCCCTACCGCCGGCCTCGCTATCGTCGAGGCGATCCGGCCAGTACTCGACGACTGGCTCGGGAGAAGGCACGGCTCCCTGTCGTTTAGGGTGACGCAGGTGCTGTCGGGGCACGGCTGCTTTGGCAAGTACCTGTGCCGCATAGACAGGGAGCCGGACGCTCGGTGCCACCACTGCGTCCATTGCGGGGGAGGACACGGCGCAACACACGCTTGCCGAGTGTGTAGCTTGGGAGGAGCAGCGCCGTGTCCTCACAAATGAAGTAGGAGGCGATTTGTCGCTGTCGGCCTTGGTGCGGAGTATGGTCGGTAGCGCAGAATCGTGGGATGCAGTGGTGTCCTTCTGTGAGGACGTGATGTCGCAGAAGGAAACTGCGGAACGGGAGAGGAGATCTCGACTCCCTTCCCTGGCCGCAGAAGGCGCACCGGGCGCAGGAGAAGGGTGGACAACGCCCTTTTCCAGCCCCCATGAATAAGTCCAGGGGCGAGGGACTAGGGGAAGCCCCCCACCCCCCTTTCGATGGACCCGATGCGGAGGCACGCGTGGGTGTCGGCGCGTGCCTCTGGGGTGATACAGGGGGTAGTTGAACACCTCACTACCCCGTGCAGGAGACGAGGCCCGTACAGACCGGGCCAGCACTAGTGTGGGGCTGCGGAAGAATTTGGATTCCCGCGGCCCCGCGCGTGCACGTGCGAGGAGACACCGGGGTGGTTTTAGCCGGTAAGAGTCCGGCACACCCCTCCGCCTGTCCCCAGGCAGAGGCAGTCCATGAGGATTTCCCCCCCGTAAAAAAAAAAGTAGTGTAAAATGTAGTTAGTTAAATGCGTGTGTGTTTATGTGTGTGAATGTATATTTGTGTTATATATTATGTATAAGATGCAAGTTCCCCACATCACCCCCCTCCAGAGACCTGGATAAGGGCGATAAAAATCGGTATATTTTATACGACGTCCTGAATGTGTTATGTGTTCTTTCGTGTTTTTTATAACATTATTAACATCGAAGTTATCTGATGCGTCATATAGTATATGGGCTGGTTTAAGGCGATCAACTGTAACCGTAACTTCCTTCCCGTTAACCAAGACTTTAAATATTTTGTCGCTTCTAGTGAGGACTTTGTGAGGACCGCTGTATTTAGGCTGCAAAGATCCACGTGATGCGTTCTCACGTACAAATACGTGGTTTATGTGGGCAAGATCTTTAAAAATGAAGACGTTTTTATTGTTATGGTGAGACATAGGCACTGGAAGTAATTTTTGAGCAAACGTGCGAATGCGGGATGCAAATTCGGTTATGTCCGTAGTACCGCTGGCACTGGGCTCAAAAAATTGTCCGGGTAAAGATAAAGGTTCACCATACAATAATTCAGCAGAGGATGATTGTAAGTCCTCTTTGAATGAACTGCGTAACCCTAACAATACCCATGGCAGTGACTCAGTCCATTTTTCTCGTGTATGACACATTATGGACGATTTGAGTTGCCTATGGAATCGTTCCACCAGTCCATTACTTGCCGGATGGTAAGCCGTCGTGCGTTTGTGCTGGAATCCGGTTATTTTGGCGAGTTGTTGGAAAAGGGCTGACTCGAATTGCTTACCGCGGTCTTATATAACCGCAACTACTATAAGCTTTTAAGCTTAGTTTGAGTGGTTA